GCGCAACAGCACTCGACTTTTCTGCTCTTACTCGATTCATTTAAAAATATTTATAATATATAGTAAAAAATGTGTGCTCACGCAGCGTGTGCACTAAAACATAGTTCTGATTCATAATACTATTGATGCGTATAATTTTATAAAAAAAATTTAATACGAATGTAATATTCGAATTACGTAATATTTTTGAAATACCCCCCTACCCCCCTACATAATTATTAGTAAGGAAATTCGCCAACCACCCCCCTCCCAAAGGTCATTACGTAATTAATGGAAGGCCCCTTTACAATAAAGTATACATGCCATTGACCAAATTTATATGCGTGAGACCCACGAGCGAACCTTCTTTCCGTGTTGAAATTTGAGTTGAACGAGATTTTTTTCTCGAAATTTCATGTTTTTTTTTTACAAAACTGTTTATAACTTTTTATTGAATGATTTTTTTTTAATTCTGACCCCGGATTCGAAAAGTACATTGAATTTTACGCGAGAAATCATGTCTGAAAAATTTTTTAAACAATTTTTAGTCGGTGTAATTCATCGCTATAAATGTTGTCCAAAAATGGTCACTTCGGGCGTTAAAGGGTTAAAAAGCCTTTATCCACCATGATAGCATCTACTCCTGTCTTCTATCTATCCATTAAATTTGACTTGTTGAAAATCATCTTATCTGACAGTCGACCACCATAAAATTTATTGACAAATGAGATCATCCTAGATAGTTCACACCTAACATGACATTCACCATGTGGCATAATTTTTAGTTGGAATACGTTTCAATTCTATACTTCAGACACTTACAAGGAGACTACATGAGATTCGGGTACCAAATGTCCTGAAATTTTTTTTCTGGTCTCTTGGTACCTAATAATTATGAAGCCTCCTATTCTTAGTTTGATTCAATGGGCCTTAGGGCCCATTTTAAAAATCATTTTCTAATTTATTGAAAAATCTTTGTGATTTTCTAACTCGTAACAGGACATCTTAAACGAAAAATTGCATAATGTACAGGTCTTGAAAATAGTCAAAAAATACATTTGAATTTTTTTAGAATTTTCGAGACCTGCTATCACCTATTTTCAAAGGTCTCTGAAATTCTGAAGAAAAACGTAAAAACGCGTCAAATTTGGGCCTTTGAAAATAGGTGTTAGCAGGTGTTTCGGTTTGAATTGTTATGTTAATGTTTCATGTTTTTTATTATAATAAATTTTAATTTTTAATCTAGGTTTGCCAATTTTTTCATTCTGCTAAATTTTCTCACCGTTAATAAATTAATCTTCGAGCCTCTTCGAACTACTTATGCCGTGCCCTGCCGGGAAGTCATCATTATTCGTTTTGGTGCATTAGTGCAAGGGCGAGTATGTTGTCGCTTATTAAACTATAGAAGTTTTAAGTGAAAGCTCGCCGCCGCGCTTTGACATTTGCACAATTTGGATGTCTTCGAAAGGGATTAATGTTCGCAAACTTCTGCGAAGGTAGAGCGTACGCATTATTTTAGCTTGGCCAACTCGGCAAGTAAAATAATGCAGCCATATGCATGAAAATAAGTCTAAAAGGGGCATATGGTACGCAGTTGCATCAGGGATAATTTCGGTCAATGATGCGACAAAGAGAGCTCGAAGATTGAATATTTAAATATGTTATGTTCGAATTAATGCAAAAGAAAAGAAGAATCGAGCGACGAAAATCTCCATGGCAACGAGAGGCGAGAGCGGTGCTGGTGACTAGGCCGGGCCAGACTTGATCGGTTGGAGCTTCACGAAAGACGCTTGAATAATTAAATAAAAAATCTCTTCACGAAACTATTGAGTTTTTAGTTTCATTTGATACAGCAGGTCTCGAAAATTCTGAAAAAATCCAAATGTATTCTTTGACTAATTTTGAGAATTGTATATTACGCAATTTTTCGTTTAAGATGTCCTGTTACGAGTTAGAAAATCCCAAAGATTTTTCAATAAATTAAAAAATGATTTTTTAAATGGGCCCTAAGACCCGTTGGATCAAACTAAGAATTGGGGGCTTCATTATTAGGTACCGAGAGACCAGAAAAAAAATTTCACGACATTTGTTACCCGAATCTCATATAGTCTCCTTGTTAGTTCTCTTTGTTACTATTTCAAAGCAATCCAATATAACTCTTGTGTCCGTATAATTTTCAAAAAATTGTGGCATACTTTGCAAAATTTCTTCTCTTCCAGGCCACTGCACTAATGTTATAAATACAGCATGTAATTCATGCTGTTCAGAAATTGCTTATTCCAAATAAAACACTTAGTGCTGAAAGTTATATTTTGTTTTATTTGAATGAACACTAGAACTATATTGTCTTTTATGGAAATACGTGTGTTGTTTTTGTAACTTTCTTTCAATTTCTTATAACAAGTTTCCAATGTTGTAAGAAAACTGTGAAATTTCAAATTAATGAATGTTATTAAATGTTCATCTGTTTTCAAAAGATATTCCAAAAGAAAACTTGATTGCACTTGCACACATTTATCCATTTTTATAACACGATTAGCCACTTTACTTTTATCACTACAATTATTAAAATACTCAATATTTTTCATATTATACCGAGTAGTGTTAGCTAGTGGTGGACGAGTTTCTGAGTTGTTAATGAAAACATTATTTTCCAAATTATCATCATTTGTTGCTGCTAAATTATTTAATAAATTTGACTGAACGTCTTGGTGCACCTCATTATTTTCATCATGTAATACACACTAGCGTCATTCCTCGCTCACTAACGTTCGCTCGGTTTTAGATTGTTTCAAAGAAATTATAAGAAATGTTGGAGGAATAAGAATATTATAAGGCATATTTATGAAATATTTAAATTTTAATTATAATTATTGTAAGGAATAGTATCATTATAATAATTATTATTGTCGCACGTAGAATCTCCTTTTTTAGAAGCCGAAATACAAATATTGGAAAATTTTGACATTTATCTCGAAATATATATTATAATATATGATGATATGTCTTATAATTAGGATGCAGGAAGAGCTAAGAAATACTGAAATTTTTGTGAAGCATTTATAAATAATTTATAAATACTGTTGTAAGTATTGTAGTGAGCCGTGTAGCCGCTAGGTGGCACAGAGTGAAAGTGAGGTTTAAGCGAATGAGTTTGTCGAGTCTGGGCGTTAAATAGACCCAAGAAAAGCTTGTAATTTCGAATTTCGGTGAAAGAGAGGTGAATAAATAAACTGAGTTCTTTGAAAAGGGGTCCTCGACTAATTCTTTCACCTCCCTCTCATTCACCATCCCCTCCCAGACGGGACCCCGGCGATTTGCAGCAGCGAAAGACGGGCTGACGACTCAGCAGCGATCCAGCGAGCAAGGAGCAATGAGAGTCGACCCGAGCGCTTCACCTACAGCAATACATATATAATTCAAAATATATTACAGGATTTTACACAGGATTAATTTATGAATCAATTACAGGATTATTTTATGAATCGATTTCTAGTTTACTCCCTGCATTTACACTAATCGAAATATTCCCTTGATAAAAAATAACGGAGCCATCAATGATTTTAATTTTATCGTTGTTGTCAAATTTTCGGATTTGGAAGTCCCAGAGTGTAGCAGTAATCTGAAAAAAAGAAAGTTTTCATAAGAAAATTATCGAAAAAAGTAGTGGGAGAATTATTCTTTATTTACCGTATCTCCGTTACCATCTTCGGCAAGGTATTTTTTGAATGAATTATGATTCGACACTTTTCCATCCTCTTACATTGAAATAATGCGACCTCTAAAGTCTGGAAAAATAATTTATAAATATACAATTTATATAAGTACTTAAGTAATGGAAATATCAATTGTAAAATAATATACATACTGCACGGCTTTTTATTCTCAATTGTCTTGATTTCCGCTATGGCATAGTATTTCAATTGAATAGCCGCAAAATCTGGGTTTGTTGAAGTGACATCTTCAACTGTTGTGTCATCAGTGAAGCCTAATTATGAATAATTATAAATATAAATAATTATAAATAATTATGAGCACTATTTCAATTTTTTGCATCGCGTAGTGTAATTAATTGGATTGTTAGTTTATATCCAACTCATAATGCTCGAAGGCGTATCTTTGAACCTTAAAAGTCCGAGCATATTATACAAAACTCACCAGAAGTTCAACGTCAAATATTTTTTCGTTTTATTTGGTTTATTTTATTTATTTATTATTTTAATTTTTTACCTTTGAATGTGACTTTAGTTATACATCTTGCAGTGCTTCTTTTTTTTTATTGTAAATTGATTTACTTGAATTTTTTAAATCGAATTACTCGAATTTTGTTTTGATTTAATTACTCGAATTATAGATAGAATTACTTGAATTGTTTAATGTTAAATTCTATTTTTAATATTCATAAAGACGTTAAACATCTTACAGCTGTTCTTATACAGCTGATTTTGTTTCCTATGTAATTTTAATCGATTTTAATAAAACTGATTTTTCGATTTATTCTGTAGTCAATACCTTCCGATTAATTGTGATTTCGTTTTTTTTTACATTTTTTTACTTTTTCCATGTAACTTTAATGAGCTTGAATTCATAGGGACTTCATCTCTCTAATTATAGGTAAACAAATGTAATAAAAAGTAAAAAAGTGTAGAAAAACGTATCACATGTCCGAAATCGTTAGTAATCTTACATTTTTTTACACTTTTCTACTTTTTATTACAGTTCACAACATTATTATGGACTTTATTCAAAAAAAAATTTCCGTTGGAGTATATTTTTTCTCTGTGTAGTGAGCGATGCTCAGCGCCCACTTTCTAACTGCCTAACTTTCACTTTCATCTTGAGAAGGCATCAAGCTTCAATATCTAATAGCAGCTAAGCAGTTCAACTCCGCGTGTCTAGTCGTTCAGATCGTGTTACGAATACATACCGTAAAAGAGGTCTCATCGCCACGTGTTTTTTAAATTAGTAAAAAAAATTGAAATTTGTAATTTTTTTTTTGTTGTTTGTGAGTGCGTATAAACATGTCCAAAAGCGAATCCAGTGTGAGCTATAATAATAAAAAAAAATTAGAAGTGTACGGATACTTGTCGAAAAATGTGAAGTGGGAGATTCAAGAGGATCGACGTGAATTTCTTTATCTACTCGATACCGTCGTCAAAAATTGGAAAGGTCAACTTCCAAATCTTCCAGACTTCTTCCAAAAAGAAGTGATTTATTGGCTTTTGATAGAGTCCGTCACAGACACAGACGAAGACGACATCGAGACACCGGGGAAACGATTCATAGATTTTGTGGCTCGCAGCGGCTACAAAGACGACCCCTACGCAGATAAAGACGGCGAGCCACTGTTGCGTCGCACCACGCCGGTGCATCATGCGGCTAAGCAGGGTACCAATTACGCCATAATCTCTGATCTCTTTAAAATCTACGACAAACTCGACGTAAATTACATGGACGAAGATGGATTAACGCATTTTCAAGTAGCCTGCTTGTATGGTCTCGACACCGTCGTCGAAAAATTCCTCGAACTCGGGCAAGATCCCAACGGCCTCTCTCGAGACACGGCAGCGAGATACGCTCACCCGCCGCTTTACTTGGCTCTAGACAACGGCCATGGGACGGTAGCCGAATCGCTGCTGAGAAGAGGCGCCGATCTGTCGAGAGCCAGTGCGGAAGGATCGACTCCCGTGCACTTGGTTTGCAACAACAATTACGACGATGCCTTCCTCGAGCTATTTTTCGAGATCTGCGAGGAGAAACATCTGACGCTGCAGGTCAACACCGTACACCCCGATGGTTATTTACCGTTGGATTATGCTCTGATGTTCAGAAACAAGAAACTGATGGAATTGCTGTTGAGACACGGCGCGAATCCGAATTTGTGCAACAAATACGGACAAACTGCGGTGCACTTCGTATGCGACAACGACGACAAGTACGACGGCGAGTATAAGTTCTTTGAGAAATTTTTCGCCATCAACGACGAACTCGGTAACACGATCCAGGTCAATGTTAAAAACGTACAGGGCGACACACCATTGATCTTGGCTATGAAGAGTGGCATGATAAATGCAGTCGAACAGTTGCTGAGAAGGGGTGCCGACCCTAACTTGTCCGATCGTGACGGATTTACCCCTCTGCACTTCGTTTCTACGTATGACATGGCGGAGACATTCTTCAAAATCAACAAAGAGTTAGATCAGACGTTGCAGATCAACGTCCGGAACAATTGGATCGAAACACCGTTGCATCGGGTATTGTACAGAAAGCTCAATAAAAGTGTGGCCGAACTGCTGCTGAGGTGGGGCGCCGATCCTCATCTAGTCAACGACGACGGAGAGACTTGTTTGCATATTATTTGCAGGAGCGACTGGAACGAAGAAAACATGGCGAAGATGTTATTTGAGGTCTGCGACGAGAAACATCTGACGGTCCAGGTCGATGTTCGGGACAACGAGGGTCAGACTGCGCTGCACGCGGCAATACACAAAGGCAGCGTAAACTTGGTAGAAATGCTGCTAAGAAGAGGCGCCGATCCTAATATTGCTGACGAGAAAGGATCGACTCCTTTGCACTATGGTTGCATGAGAGACGTCGATGACGATAACTTGGTGAAACGATTTTTCGAGATCGGTGAACAATTCGATAAACCGGTCCAGGTCGACGCTCGGGACAAGGATGGTAAGGCACCGTTGCACGTGGCGATACACAAAGGCAACGCAAACTTGGTCGAATTTTTGCTAAGAAGAGGCGCTCATCCGAATTCAGCCGATAATAAGAAAGTTACTCCTTTGCACGCAATATGCGAGAGAAAAAACGGCGACGATGGCTTGGCGAGGAGATTTTTCGAGATCAACGACGAATTGAATCAGCCGGTGGAGGTCGACGCCAAGAACGACGAGGGATCGACGCCGCTACACTTGGCTCTGTCCCACGGATGCAAGAAACTGAACGAACTGCTGTTGAGAAGACAGGCCGATCCAAATTCGGCCGCCGAGAACGGATTCACTCCTCTGCACGTCATATGTCAGAGAGAAGACGACGACGTTGACTTGGTGCAGAGATTTTTCGACATCAACGACGAGCTCGATCGGACGGTGCAGCTAGATGCCCGAGACAGCGAGGAGAACACACCGTTGCACTTGGCTTTGGATTGCGGTCACGAGCAAATAGCCGAATGGCTGCTGAGAAGAGGAGCGAGTCCAAATTTAGCCAACGCGCAAGGATCGACACCGCTGCACTCGATCAGCGCGGGAAAGAAGGACTACGCCGACTTGTTGAGGACGTTTTTCGAGATCAGCGACGAGCAGAATCGAGCGGTCGAGGTCGACGCCAGAAACAAGCGGGGTGAAACGCCGCTGCACGGCGCTATAAGACACGGACACAAGAAGGTGTTTGAATTACTGCTCAGAAAAGACGCCGATCCGAATCTGGCCGATAAGCTTGGATGGACAGCTCTGCACACGATTTGCATGGCCGACGTCGATAACGGCTGGGCGAAGATGTTGTTTGAAATCAGCGAGGAAAATAATCGAGAGGTGCAGATCGATGTTCAGTGCAAGCACAACTTCACGCCACTACACCTTGCACTGATGAAAGGGCGGAAGCTCAGGGCGGTGGCGGAATTGCTGCTGAGAAAGGGCGCCGCTACGAATTTAGTCGATTGGAAGAGGTCGACTCCTCTGCACACTGTTTGCAAGTCCGCCGATGACGAGGACCTCGTGAGGATGTTGATCGAGATCGGCAACGAAGAAAATAATCCGGTCGACATCGACGCCCGGGATATCTCAGGCCGGACGCCGCTACACTTGGCCCTGGCCGAAAGACACTGTAGGGTGGTCGAGTATCTGCTGAAATTAGGCGCCGACCCCGACTTGCCAGACGAGGACGACTTCTCACCGTTGCACGTTATCAGCAAGGATCTTTACGACGACGCTGAATTGCTCGAGCTGTTTTTCGACGCCAGCAAAGAGGCCGATCGGACGGTGCAAATCGATGTCCAAGACAAGAAGGGACGAACGCCTTTACAATGGGCCGTGGCGGATTTTTCCCTGGATAAGGTCGATGTATTCCTGGATCGGGGCGCTGATCTGTCCAGCTTCGTTTTTCCCAGTAAGGGCCATCTCATCGAGAGATTTCGATGGGTACGTGCGATAGAATTATCGCTGGCGTCGAAAATTGTGGCCGTCGTTGAGCGTCTCGAGAAAAGAGGATACGAATTTGACCGCAGCGACGCCCTGAATATCATGAATTTGTTCGCCGAGAACGGATTGTTCGAGAAGTCAGTGGATCTCGACGAATATTGGTACGACGACGAAGAATTTGTGAGCAAATCGAAAGAGATAATGGTGATTCCTAGTCTGTCGCTTCACGACCTTATTCGATTGAGACCGGAAGAGGCGGCGAAACAACTGGAACACGAGAATTATATCGAGTTGGCGCGTTCGGACAAATTGTCGGACCTTTCCGAAGGCCACAGGGAGCTTTGCGTTCGGCATCTCTGCGAAAAACTGTCGAGAGGATTTTTCTGGCCATGGGCACTAGATGCGTTGTATGAACTGCAAAGCTGCCAGTTACCGGTTCTCTGCTGTGAAATAATCATTGCGGAGCTAAAGAACGAGGATTTATATAATATTTGCTTGGCATGCATACTTGCATAGGCGATAGCTCGCGGCGACTTTTTTGTTATCGTAACTATGTAGATAACGAAAAATTATAAACGGTATCGAAAAATTGTAAATAATTGTAAAATTGTAACGGATTTCTTGAAATCAAAACCTTACAATAACATCGATTCATAAGTTTAGAAACAATAACAGTAATTAAACTCGTATGGATCTCAAAGGTCTCTTTGTTGGACAGTGAATATTACAATTATCCATGTAAATAAAAAGCAAATTGTAATAATAGTTATAAGTTTTCTCAATTCCTCGTGTAATTTTTTGTACATTTTTAAGATCAATAAAATTTAATGAATGAATAAAAAAATGAATTATGATTTTTTCATTGATTAATTCACAATTCTCGAATTGAAATCTTACATCATATAGCTATTAAATAACAAATACAACTAGACGTTTAAAACACGCTCCGCGCGTGTATTTTCTTTGTCTCTGTGTAAAATATAAATGAAAAAGAACATATAGGAGAGATGCAGTATATAAAATTCATGATTATAAAAAGTTATGCACACTTACAAAATTAATTTTTTGGCATTTCTCCCTTCTAATCGGCTCTTGCGTTTAGTGGCCAAATTTGCATCTCTTTTTACTTCAGTCAGAAGTTTTTAGTTTTTTCGCCACGATTGCGCATTCGGATTGGGTTAAAACTGTGGATCTGGTGGCATACAGACCGATACTAAAAGTTAGCGGCGTTGGTTCATCCAGATTCATCAGCTACTAAAACAGCTGATTGTAGCCGAAAATGTAAAAAAGGGTTTTGGTATTTTTTTACTTGGTAAGAATGGACTCTACAAAAAAATGTTATAGAACAAAAAGTGCTTAGAATTGATCAAGAAACACGCATGACTTTTTTCAGATTTTTTCGGATGATTCGGGATTTTTTTGGATATGGCTATTTTATAAAAATGGTAATGGTTAAACAATTATGTAAACAATTATGTAAAAACATAATGCTATGAAATTTTTGTTCAAATTTCATTTTTTAGTTGGCAATATAATGTAAACATTGCACGTGTATATTTGCCTTTACGCCGGCAAAATATCGGAGAATCAATGGCCAATATATTGCAAGTATAAATGGCTAGTATATGGCACTTATATTGCAAATTGTTTTGATTTTTACGTGGGACTGTAGCAACTTGCAATTTTAATTGAAAACTCCAGAGTAAGTCGTATTTATAAATCCTGGTCATTTCCGTGACTCGATGAGGAATGACTCGAACTCTGCGCTGAACTCGTATGTGTGCAATGGTTGCGCGGTGCTATACACTCGCACAAAAACACACGCACACATAAAATAATGGGTCCTGGCCATGCTATACGAGCGTTGCGATTCCAATGCTATATATAAACAGTAGTAGTGATACATCAGTCGCAGCAAAGTATGCAAATGTAATGGCTTTTGTATTACATACGTATAGGAGCTGAACGAGAGAGAAAGATAGAAATAGTATACAGGCCGTAGCGTAACGAGCGCCGCGCCTATTACAACACGGTCTCCGCTGTAAAAACAAATTCGACAACAAAGCGCAAAGTGCGCAGCGAACATCCTCCTATATGCATACACGCGTGTACGCACATCATACGTACAATATCGCGTATTGTCTCGAGGGGTTGTTTCGCGCAAGGAGCCTACTTATATAAAGCGAGCAGAGCGATGGCTATATGGTATCGTACGCGTGTATGCGTGTGCAGCACGATGTCGCGGGTGGCCAACCCCCCGCAGGTTTTCTAAGGAACCGCGCGCTTGCTCGGCGCAGCACACAGCGGCTGATATTGCTCATCCCTCGGCGGTATACATTTTTTCACATGTATACGTAAGCGCGCCACGATTCGATGATTGCGAGCAGAGAGAAAGAGCAAAAGAAGGGGAAGAGAATAGACGGATTCGGGCTTAGTCACGCGGGTAAGTTTCGCGAAGAGAATCGCTTGCCTCGTGTGCTGCTGCTGCAGTGAGTCACTCGTCGTAATACATCGGCAAGCGAGCAGCAACAGCAACTCTCGTACGTATTATAGTTACTGCTATACCATATACCAGCGGAGCTCCGAAATTGCGATCGATCGCACGCGCGCGAGCTCCGAGTCACCCTTTGATTGGGGCAAAGACCGCACTGCGACGATGCGTGAGTCGTCGTAGTCGTCGTAGTCGAGGTTGCTGCTTTTTGTCGCTGTATACACCAGGCACGCAGGCACGAGACAGCAGCTCTCCTTCCCCGTGCGCCCAGAGTACACACACATACATATAACGGCGCATGTGTATTATCGCAGACGCGCGCGGTTTGTATAGAAACATTTACGAGCGATCGCGACTGGCGTATTACCGAACGTTCGACGACGAAGACGACGATCGACGGTATACGAGCTTCGAACTAGCAAGAAAGTCCCTTGTACACATGACGTAACCGAGTTATACCGATCGCCGTGCGCAGCAGCGCAAACCCGGAGTCGCGAGTTTACCCTCCTCCTATAGCATCGTTTTGAGGATGCACGGCAATTTTATATATACTTGATATTCCAGCCACGGGTACATGCTCTATCGAATAAACCACGGGTACCAAAACTGACCAGAGATGAAAACCTCCACATACGTGGTATCGGACCCAAGACGGTTACGAGACACAATTTTGTTTGTTTTCGGGGGGGGGGGGGGCGCCGAAAGTCAAGTCTCGATAGACGATTGCTAACGTCCAATTCGTATGCCGACGTATTACATAAGTTTTTTGCGTTGCGCAACGCGTGGATCCTACATCCCGTGACCTTTTTAGTCTGTTCGAAAAATTCCTTCACACCCCCACGCTTGTAACTTTCCCTTGCAGGGCGTTTAGGCGCATGACCCGCGCTGCAGTTAGTCGCGCTGCGGAACTCGCGGCGCAGGATTACATTATAATACTCCGTTCGAGAAAGGAATGTGTCAGGCAAAGGATAACGTTGGCGCACCGGTTGAGGCATTACACGCGCGAGATGCGTACGTCTGATACTCACTTTATGGCTTATCGTAAATTATTTGCTAATCTGCCTCGCGAGATCTCTCGTCGTACTCGACTGTATAGCTGCTGCGTGGCGAGGCGACCGTATGTAAGTACGTGTACGTATACGTACGGTACGGTATACGGTACGGCCATGCGTTAGCCTAGCCGAGGCACAAGATGTTATTACCCCGCGTGCCGTAATGTGGGCCATACGATCGCAGCAGTGCTATATAGCATAGCTCCTCGAGACTGCTGTGCAATACGCACTTACTTTGATACATTACGTACCTTGTACATGCAGGAGGCGCACGAGCCGGGCCTTGAGATTCTCGCTCTCTCTCTCTGCCCGACGAGATAAAACTCGCATTTAGCCCGATAAACTGACGTATTTATGGCGACGAATGATTTGTTTTTATGAAATCGAAACACATACACATTCGCTCGTTCCCTTTCAGCCGCGCGCGTATACCGACTTTGTGCGTACGTATTACGGCTTCGTATTCATATAACCGACAAAATCCGTGTGCACGTGTGTATATATGTATCGGTAAGAATCCTCGACCAATGGATTTTCGTATATAAAGTATAGTTATACACCGTAGCGTATATCGAAGGTTATTTATTGGATGAGTCCTGCGGAGCAAGGCCACTTTTTTTCATTTTGCGCTGCGCGTACATGCGGATCGCGCACGAGCTGCCGAGCTTAAAACTCCACTTGTACCGCGTATAGAGCCGTTTTTCGGAATCGCGTTACGCGAGCTTGCGACGCGGTGCGGCTTAAATACGGATCCGATACGCGTATATGTAACGACTGATTTTCAGTGAAATCGAACGGACAAGAAAATTTTTTCTCGGCTGCGATGAAAAATTTGTTTTTAATTTCACACGTGTCTCGGAATTTTAATATAATAATTGGAACCTGCGATAACCCATTTTCATTAAAAATGTCCATATTATATAAGAATATCAGCGGAAACGATGTATTATACAGCTGCTCAAGTTTATCAGAGCAATAGATTATTTTATAAAACAATTTATAGCTGTACTGTGTACAAAAAATCAAGTGTTATCGAATACGTGATAGTGTGTTCATAGTTTTTTTTTTTTAATTTACTATACTTTAAAGAGGTGGGTGAAGCATGTAATTATAATAATTATATCGTGGAAAGATTTAAATCAAACCACATTTCGATGCTTATTTAATACACCGTGATATCTTTAATAAATACTAATTGCAACAATTCAAGATAAACCTCGATCATTTTACTATTTAAATTTAATCGCAAACGTTGAAACTATCTAATTATTGTATCTTCTGAGATGAGTTTCGAGAAGGTTCAAAAATTAAGAAAAAATCAAGCAATAATCGTTCCTCTGTTCAAAAGTTCTCTCAATTATAAATTACATACAAAGTAATAAAAACGATAATAGCAGTTCTTTATCTAATTATTAATCGTTATATGTACCCAATACGATAAACGATTTTAAAGTTATTTCATCAAGTAGCTTTTAAAAAAAAGTATTAAAAAATAAATAGGTTAATAAAAGCCATAAATTCATTCTAATTTTCAACAAATTGTGCATGTCGAAAACCATCAAATAATTTATTCAACAACTTAATACTAAAATTAACAAAAACTTATCATACTATTATACGTTTATAATAATTGGAAGCTTATCAAATGCGCTTATAAAGTCTTGTGGATGCAACGAACCAATATAAGCATGTAAATGAGACAATATGTCCCAGAATTTCGCGTTATTCCACGCTATTGGCCACTTTATATTCTTTGCGAGACGAAATATCATATAGGCATAATCATGACCCCCCACGGAATGTTGACGTAATTTAGTCAAAATATCATCGGTGTACTCAAAAAAAAGAAGTTTCAAGCGAATCTCGTTATTTATTATTTCTTCTTCACTCAAATTTTCTCGTGGTATGTATTCGAACATATCTTTTGGTTCAACGACATCTTTTGAGAGCTTGTAGTAGAGAATAGGCTGCTTTTCCGGTTGGTCCTCGTACTTATCAATCAATTCTTTATACAAATCTGATATCGAATCTATCCCCTGTACAATCGGGTAATCCTCACTGTTTTTATCAGAGAGCGCCTTATTTCTCCAATCAACCATCCTGTCCCAAACAGGAAAATAGAAGTTGGAGTCTGAGGCGACTAGTACGCAGGTGGCAAGCAAGAGACTACGATGTGACAAAATGCATTATTAACTCGTGCGAGATTCGAAATTTCGTTGTAAATTAAAAAAGTACTTACAAAACGGCGAAACTCTTCATAGTCCTATTAGTTCTGTGTCTCGAAAAAGAATGACCGATAGATGATTCAGGAAAGAGGTTTATATAGACAAATCGAAATCAAAAATCTCATTAGTCACACTCCCGTAAGTACAACAGTACCCAACATCCGTTGTCAATATTGACCATGAATCTAGTTATAGGGCCTTTCCGTCGGATAAGATATTTCACTTCCGATACTTTCTTGCTTAAAATTACTAATAATGTCTATAACTACTAGTATGGATATAATTTACTAGTAATATCTGCGTTGCGAGATCAATGAAACACCTAAACTTACCGGTCTTTTAAAAAAGTTTGTTATCGCTACATGTCTTGATGTGCACAGTAATTAAGAAGATATGAATGTATCACATTGAAAAAGAATACGATTCAAAAAATTTAGAGTCGCGATACAGACAGTTATATAAAAAAAAGGTGCAGACAATATGATAAACTCATTGAAAAAAACGATGAGTTACGTGCAAGACTCGTCAAATCGAATAAAAACGCACGACACGAATCGTGCGTATAAACGCGCGTTCAAAGTGAATTTTATCCTGCAATCGAAAATTCATTAGCAGGGAGAGGAGATAAAGAGATAGAACCGGAGATAGCTTCGGCTGAGCAAATCTAACTTAAATTTTGTGCACACAGAGGACTAAGACGACGACGAGGAATCGCGCAACGCTTACTACTACCTATTGCTGGGGGGGTTGAAGGAAAATCAAAGACTAAATAAACCACGGGCGATTGATCAAAAGCAATCTCTAGCTCGACTACGACTTGTTTTGCCGTCGGATTAGCCGTTTATATATATTATATACAATCTGTATACACGTAAGAAAGAAAAAGACGTGCGCGAGGAACGGTACAGCGCACAGATCGGCATCGTGGCATGTGTGCGTACATATACCATTGTACCGTAGTACACACAGACGCATACGCTACAATGTGACGTACGTCTATATATTGCGGGGCACGTGTCTCGCGATTGTGTGTGTATATATATAGCTGCGCTGCTTCTGCTGTCTCCGCATCAAGCCAACCCCCTCGAGCGCTCGAACTTACATATACGGACTAGATATCCACACACAAAGACGCTCATCCTGGCATCATAGACGCGAGCATAGAAAAAGACAAAAAAAATGCCAGCAGTCGTCACACGCAGTATAGTTGTGCGCGGGTGACAAAAAGTATTATAGTCGTATCTGGTGTCGCTCTGCACAGAGCAGCAGTATGCGACGAACGATAAATAAAAGTGCGAGCCGATGACGGGACGACGCGCGATCCCGCGACGAAAAAAAAAGGAACTGTAGCGACGAGAGAAAGGAATTAAAAGAATAGGAAGAAGCCGTGACTGCAGCAGCACGCGAGCGAGAAAAGCTGTCGCGCGCCACAACTATACGTATAAAGAGCTCGCTCGGCCGTATAGCACACACACTTTCATTATTATTCATGCATGCATGCGCGGCGTATATACGCCACCGTATAGAGCGCGGACGTCGTGTTCGCGCGTGCGAGCTCGAGTATATAAGCGAGCCCCGGCCCTATTACCAGCGCTGCTTCGCGAGTTCGCGAACACGACGCGACTTAATCATCGGACGCACACACACGACACGCGGCTCGTTTGTATATACATACTTTACGAGTACTCTTCGCGACCGAATGTGCCGTTATTGCTCGTTACAATGCGTGAGTGTGTGTGTGTGTGTGTGTGTGTGTGTGTGTGTGTGTGTGTGTGCAAGTACCGCACGGGAATGTGCGTGTGCACATTCGATGCTATATGTGTGTAAGTCGCGCGGGGATGCAGTCCGACTGCAGTGGTACATATAGTACATATATACGCGTACGCTATATACATTTGTCGCCAAACGAGCGTACGTATAGAGAAAGATGGCTTATCCTGCACTCACCTACGCTACGTACGGTATATAAAAATGCCGCGCATTCGCGTCGAGGCTCGCGTGTTTCGCGTCTGCCTCTTTTTTTGCCTCTTTCCTCTTTATATATACTTCTTTTTTATAACTGTCCGTGCCTCCGTGCGCTGCGTGTCGACGCTTAATCAGTCCGTATATGCAGAATACCTCCGCGTGCTTTTGCAGCTGCGATTTTTAAGAGCTGCCTACTGCTGTTGCTGCAGTATTATATATCGCGACGTTTTTTCTCCGAGTGCGTATGCACCGCGGAGACGCCAAACTGCCGCTTTTGAATGATATTCTTTTTCATTTTATTCGCTTCGCGCTAATGCACTTTGAATGCTTTTTCAGCGGGAAATATGAAGTATACCGAGATTCAAGATAAAGCTCGAGAATTATGCTGCATATGCTAATCTGCGCGCACGCGAATCATATTTACGCGTACGACCATCAATAGACATTTCAGATCTTGAGTGGATAATGGTTAACTTATACAGCTGAGTAGTTATATTCGTCCACAAAAAAGCTTCACATTTTATTACAGTTTCAGTCGTTTTGACTCATTTAGGCCCCGTTTAAAACGCAAAAAAAAGTCGCCAAATTATATTAAAAAAGTCTATTTCCACTTAGCTTTCTTCAAGTGCAAGAGCTTTCACAAATTAGAGTTCGATAGGATTAACAAAGGCATTAAGAAGCTGTTAAGAGCACGAGCTTGACCGATTCAACAATTTGCAGCTAGAGCTTTCGAAATCTGCATTATGTTTAATTTAGAAGAAGGAGTCTGAGCGCCGTAAATAATAGGAGCCACGCGCACCACTGCCACCGCGCTGTTGCTTCAGCGAAGCCACGAGGGTGAGCTCGCACACGCGCGTGCGTGTGTGTCTGTATAAAGCTCTGGAGTCGTTTGCAGCGTACCAGGTATATATACGGTGTGCGTGGGTGCAAAAATCTAGCTTGATAAATTATCAAACGCAATAACGCCACTGTATATATCTCGGTAGCGCGCCGCGGCGGTGCCACCTCTAAACACGCAGCAGCAGTGGCCAACCCGGAGTTTACGAGTCTGGGTGTTGCGCGTTGTACACCTATATATATGCTGCTGCTGCTGCTCGTTGGTTATAAGGTGTATATACCGTGTGTGCGCTGAAGTGAGCTCGAGAGCTAGCCACGCCGCGTGCGTATACCGCACATCGAGCTCGGGCGCCCGAGTGTGCGGCGCGGTGGTCGCTTCGCTCGCTCGCTCGGCCGCGAACGAATAATTTTCCGTGGTGCCTCTCGGTATATATACAGCGACTGCAACGGACTGTACTGGCTCTCTCTCACTCTCTCTCTCTATCTATATCTCTGGCTTCGCTCGCGGTGGTCTTGAGAGCGAGCAAAGTAGAGAGAAGATAGAAAGAGAGAGAGAGGAAGATCTTGCGGAAAAGCTAGGATATACACACGTATATAACGTGTATACGAAATTCAGCCAGGATACCGCACGCGTATACACACAGGAGGAATATTGCGGTCCACTCGGTCGAGTAAGTATACTCGCTTTTGCCCTCGCCGCCTCCCCCTTCTGCTCCGACGGGGGTAACTATACACCTATATAGTCTGTGTGTATAGTACGCCTCTCTATATTGCAGTGCGAGCAACAGCGTGGCTTGTTATCTCGTTCTTCTCTGCGCGTACGTATGTATGTGTGTGTGTGCGTGTACATATATATCGCACCCCCTGCGCTCCGCTGCCGCATCCACTCCATATACAGTCTCTACAACGCACACTACACATACACATAAATACAAATACAGGAACTGCGAGAGAGAGAGAGAGAGAGAAAGCAGGTTTTGGGCGAAAATAGCTGTGGAGCATTGCTGCCGTGCCGAAGGCATCGTGCGTAGTTCACGAGGCTCCGAGCCTCGATTCATCGGCTCATCTCGTATAGCTGCTTTTCTGATGCTTCCCTCCCTCTTTTCCCTTCGGATCGCGGCGATTCTCCTTCGTTTTACAAAGGATTCGAGCGTACAGGTCATCCTCGTACTCCCTGACTCTTTGAGTACAAGTATATGCGGGGGGGAATATGTATAACCTGTTCAGCGATCGTCTCATCCCCTGCGAACATTTATCTACGCGTCTTACGATACGTAAGTTTCGCTATAAGATAAAATCTCGGCAAGATTTTTCCGTACTCTGTGTGTACACTGGGGAAAGTATTAATATTAAAATTTATTTAAAAATAAATTTAATTTTCAAAAACCCGCTTCGAAGTTAATAGAGCTTTTAGAGATGTCTAATAATATCGAAACAAAAAAAATTTCAATTTCACAAACACGGATTCACTAGCCTACCCAACGAGCCATAAGACGTTACATACATCAAAAAATCACGGAATTATTCAGGATACTTTGAAGAAAAAATTATATACAATTATATTCACATTGTCACTTGCAGAATTATAGAAAAAAGGTACTCGCCATCTAGCGGTAGCAGGTGGCCTCAATCATAGTTGAATTTTTGTAAATTTTTGTACCATCAACGCCAAAAAATAAATCAGTATTCAAACATTAATTTCCGATCAAAAATGCTTTCATTTGGATTTAGAATTAATTTAGTTGGTATTATGATTAAAAATAATGTATTTGATTGCACATTCATGCCTTTTTCGTGCAGTTTATATAAAAAAATTAACCAGTACCGACACACTATTGGTCAATTCATTTCACGAAAGAAAGGTTTTTTACTTTTAATGTTTGATAATTTTCATTAAATTTGCATTAAATTTTAGATTTTTTTTAATCGTGTATGTTATCCGATGTTGTCCTTTATCTTCAAATAGTATATTTTGTAACAAGTGCGCGAAGCAGTTGACTCATCCAGGAGTTGTTTTCACCCGAGCGTAGCGAGGGTGCAAAGACTCCTGGATGAGTCAACTTCCTCGCGGACTAGTTGCAAACGATATTTTTTAACTCTGCTTGCGAGAAACTAGGGTTTTCTGACGCTTTAAGGTTAGAAAACCCGTGTTTTGCGCACGCAGTGTTAAAAATATATAAATTGAACGTCTTTTTAAGACTTTTTCAGATTCGGTTTTTACATCTTTTATCTTCAAACTTACGTTGGGCTTACTTTAAAGAAAATTCTCATGGACCTCTTCAATCAATTTTTTGCAATTGAATCTTCTCACAGAAACACAATCAGCATTCGTAGCAAGCAGGCGATGGTGCAGCCACGACGAACGAGCTCTGACATAATGTGCCTCGATGCAGCCGAATAAAGAGCCGCACGCGAACCAGATACATCGAACCTCGCGCGCCGATACCGGTATATCCGCACTATAAGCGCTTGCATTGGTATTATTAAATGCAACGAGTAAAAAAAATCGAGGCAACTTGTTCGTGTTCGCAAGCGTGTCCAAGGAATATAATTCAATCCGGTAGTGCGTGATTGTGACTCGCTCGGATGAAGCTGCAGAGTGACTTATCGATGGTCTTTATAGATGTATCTATGAATGCGAAAAGCAACAGGGCTAGACGCACAGCTCGAGGTGCAGCGAGTGGAGACGAATAACAATACCTGCGTACATATAGTCGTCGAGCGACTTTCTGCAAACGACAGAGACAGAGAGACGAGCTTCCAAGGAGCCGTGCAAGAAGATTCGCTACGGCATCATCCCATAGTACACGGCGAATGTGTATTATATATCTGCGCAAGGGATGTTCTGCAGAATCATCTTCTTTATGCTAATAGGTATAGACTTACCGTAGAGCCGAGAAGCCCCCTACCGGCGCTCAGGGGGCTATGACCTCTATACACTACATAGCGAAAAAACGCCACTTATTACACTTCTT